CTCAGCATGTTCAGAACGAGGCGGCAGCTGGCCTCCTGCGGGAACGGGCCTCCACGTGCCAGGGGTGACGGAGGGCCGGAGAGCACCCCCAGTGCCACACCCGCCCTGGGACCTGCAAAGGGAGCGGAGGTGCTGGCCAACGCGAGCCGGACGTTCCCCTCGGCCCGGTGCGGACCCTCCCTGCGGTGAGACACATCCTCCCCGCGGCCGCGGGCTGAGACCAAGTGCTTCTGCAGAAGGGGGCACGGCCAGCCAGCGCCTGGTGGGCAAGCACCGCCTGAAGCTGCTCTCCCTCTGCCCGGCGCCTGGCTGCGTGCCAACTGGGCAGAGCGTGGGCTCGTTCACACTGGACGGGCCAAGGGGCGGGCCTGACTTTGGGGCTTTCAGAGGACGAAGCTGACGAGAAACTGAGCTGAGGCCTCCTTCCTACACAACAGGGTCAGCCTGTCAAGGTTACATCTTGGACATAAAGGTCCTTTGAGCTCACACTGCCCAGGGCCATCTGGGCACTTACAGCATCACTCACAGGCCATACAAAGTCATCAACTTAAAACTACCCTCTATTTTGGTCAAACATTTAATTCGCCCCTAATGCCTTGGCAGGGCCAGGGCCATGACGGTGCGGGCCTTCCTCAGCCCGCGGGCTGGACGCCCCCACCCCTGCTGCAGGTCATGGGGCGCCTGCTGCCCACATGGGCGACAGCAGGGCCCACATGCAGCCCGGGCACGAGGCTGCTGGCCTCCCGTGACGGGCAGGGGTGCGTGCAGCACTCGAGGGGCCGCCCCCTTCCCACTCGGCATCCAGGGCCCAGGAGGGAAGTGGGGGCGACCTGGATGTCACGTGGTGACCGACCACGCAGGTCGCTGCTCTGAGTGGACATGCCCACGGAACTAGGAGATCCCAAACCTGGAGGCGGTACGAGGGAGCGCGTGGCTGGGTGTCACTCACGGGCCCCGGCTTGGTCCAGGGGAGAGGCTGCCCCGCAGGCCAGCGGCAGTGTCCGAGGCCGAGGACACACGCTCTGCGTCTAACACGGCCACACCCACTCGGCCACAGGCACACGCATGTACCGAGCCAGCGCAGGTGCCGCCGCGGAGCCAGGACCGCCTGCAAGGCCGCTGGACCGTTTCTCCAGAAGCGGAAACGCACGGGCTCAGGCACCACTGCTTTCGGGGAGATTTCTCCCAGCGGGTCCCAGAGACAGCTCGGGACTCCAATGGCCCCCCTCCCGGTCTCTGCCCCGTCTCTGCCCCATCCCCGCACAGCCCTCCGTGATCCTGGGCGTGCAGGGCGGGCTCTCCCGGGGGGTGGCTGCTGCACACTGATCTCCTGAGAAGTGAGGGCGGCCAGAGGCTGGGGTGAGGGACAGGACTCGGGGCGCTGAGGAAGTGTGAGCGTCAGGAAGACCTGGAAGGGCCTCTCGCTGAGACAGAGCCCAAGCTGAGGGCAGTGAGCGCTGGTGTCCGCGCACTTTAACAGGAGGCACAGCTGGGCTCGGTCTGAGCGCACGGGCTGGCCATGAAGACTTGCTTTCCCGCTGGAGAGAAGGGAGCAGGGGAGGGACACCACGGGTGGCGGCTGTGCTGGAAGCTCATGCGCGGCCACGGGACCTGGTGGCGGGATGGCGGGGGCTGGGTGGACGCGGGCACATCGAGGAGGAGGAGGAGGAGGAGTAAAGGACAGAGTGGCATGGCGGCCTCGGGCAGAGGCAGAGCGGGTTAATGGTCGATCCTGACGAACTCAGAGGCACACCCGCCCGCGGCCCCAGGCGAGTGCTCAGGGGCAGGTGCACTGATGCAGCCTGAGACCCAGGGCCCCTCCTCGCCGCTCCCAGGCGGCCCCACC